GATCTGAGTACTTCTTCCACTACAACTCGGGTCATATGAGTCCATGTCGCTCTAAATTGTGTATCCAAAATGTTTCTGATTTTGATTAAGCATGTTCTATTTCTTACTGAGTTTAAATGTTGTTTAAGGTCGTCTATGAAATTCCTGTGGGGAAATACTGAACCCTTTATTCATTCAGTAATATTTTGGCCAAAAATATTTGAAATGTATGTGCTCAAAGTTAAGACATGCTCAAGGTCCAAAAATATTTGGTCGATATTGTTTATCATATCATGAGGACATGACCCTCATTGGCAGCCACAGCTTGGTAACCACCAACCAATCTCTAATGTACTAAATTATTTTTTTCAAATCGCTTTCAAGCAATGTGTTATAATTGGTAATCTCCTACTGTTTTGCACAGATCAAAGGTCTTCCCTTCGGGAACATCTTCTCAGTGAGTGATGGACCGGGGGACAACAGCACTGGAGTCGTATATTTTTACGTTACTCCGATGGACAACACTGTATCCGACCTGAGAAGTAACCCCTTCGCTTCTCTCACATTCTCAGAGGCTGAGGGAGAATTCTGCAGGTAAGCCCCAATTTAGTAATACACCTAATAGTTTGCTAAATCCTCCTAAGGCAGAAATGAACTTGCAGGCCCCCATTAACTCCCAGTTCTTTCCCTAATGTAGGCATTATACACAATTTGTTCCTGCTTAAATACCAACTGCCCCCAAGGTTTGTTGAGTGGTTATTTGATTAACAAATTAGGAAACAAAGCACATCATTTACATAATGAAGGTCCTAAAACGTTTTATTCTAGAAAAAGGGTATTTCAGTTTCAGATAAAGGAAAAAGTACCGTGAGGACTTTATGACAGTTTCAGGTTCATCACAATAAGATGCTATATTACCATTTGGAAAATTATAGGATATTTGCCTACATCACAAAGCCTGCCAAATTATAGTTACAACTTGAACCGATGAATGAGCCTGTGATCAATATATGATGATGTCATTTGTTCATTTAACACAATTTGTTACATTTATATCTGCTTTTTTTTTTTCAAAATAAATGTATATTCTAAAGATGATTTATATCAATGATATTGGATAAATGATCATTGAATTGACACATGGATCAGGAATGATGGATCTTTACACACCTATTTAAAATTGAGCTTTAGTATCTGCTTAGTTGGTCCTTTCTGTTGCCACTAAGAGGCTCAGAAAAACTATAACCCCTATTGAGTGTTTTAATGACAACATGGTGTTCTGTGTCTCAAGGCAAATGGTGTATGATCCAGAAGATCCAAGATGTGCTCGACTCACTCTAACCGGCAAGATGGTGGATGTGGCGCCAGAGGAGCTTGTGTTTGCAAAGGAGGCAATGTTCTCAAGGTAACTTGGATGGGCCAATCCAATACTATCCAAAATCACAGGATTGGATATCTAGAAAATATAAGGAAAATCCTATGCAGTCCCTTAACCTTGACATATGGAGTCTTCATTTTATGTCCAGTATTTAAAGGTAAAGTTGTTATTTATCTGTTATGATAAGTATTTAGATGTTATTGTTTTGCACATAGTTGCACTTTGAATTAATATAAATGTTTGAATGGTGCTGAACAATCACAAATGCTGCTAAAAGTTCTGTTGGTGAACATTTTGAAAAAGTAGCAGCAGTATTGAGTCATGTTGAACGGTATGTTTCTTCCTTAAAGTGGACCTATCATGCTATATTTGAATAATATAGTGTAGGACCATACCTATATAAGGCATATTTCTACTTTTTCTTTTTCAAAATACCAAACAGATCATGCATTTTAGCCATGCCTCATTTTGCTCAATTTGACAATTTCTAGCTCTGTTTTTGCAAGGGCAGATTCTGTGAGAACAGCACCATCTACAGGCCTGGCATATGTACTACAGCGTCTCCAGCGCTTTCGAACGGCAATGGCCGTGGCTGTCTCCTCCTGATTGGTGGAGTTGGCCCAATAGCCGTAGCGCCACTGTCCTGACGTCAGGACAGTGTTCAAATCTGGATCAGTTTTTATCAGATCCGTTGCAGCCCCTTTTTTAGAGATTTGGGTATGGAGGAAAATAGAGAGGGTTGTGTTTTCTGACACTTGGTGAGTTCCCTGGAACACCGGGGACACATATTCATGTATAAAAGACGTACAAAAGTGCATTTTGCATGATAGGTCCCCTTTAAGCGAGGTCAAATATATGTATTTTTAAAGTTTAAATATGATGTTTTAAGATGAATAGTTTAAGTGCATCCTTATAAATATATGATTACATCATATGCGGTTAAAGGGGCTAAATAATGGCAGATACTCAGGTAATCCTAAATACATGTTGGCTACGTTCAGCCCTGAAATGTGGGAAAACAACACAATTGTGCACGTTTTGGCTGCTATCTTCATGTGTGGCTCTTGTTTTTTTAGACATCCTGTGATGGCAAAGTGGCCAGTGGGACACAATTGGTTCTTCATGAAGCTGGAGCTGATCCAGGTCTGGCTGCAGGACTGGGTCGGAGGCATATCACTCATTCCCCTGGAGGACTATTTTAAAGCTACACCTTTCTGAGAACATACGTCCCTCTGCATCATCAGATACACAAATTAGTACAGCTGTGTTCACTACAAATATCACTTTATAAGGGGCAAGAAGTCCCAAAGCAGCAATGTGCCATATTCTTACTTTGTCATATTTGTTGCTTTTTTAATTTGTGAAAGAGAGTGGTCTTCTTTTTCTCTTTTGCCCTTTAACTTGACCCATCACACAAAATCAGTTTTTTGTTTGGTGTGTGAATGTATTTCAAGTCATTAAGCTACTTCAATTGAATGGTCAAAATGTCCCAGCTGGGGAAAAAAGTTAAATGTAATTGAATATATTCTCTATAAGCACTGATTACTATTTTATGGGTGTGCATTAAAACATTTATGCTGTTTGAAATAAATGAATGTTAGCACACGCAATTGTGACGGTTCAAGAATGAACTCTGATCCTACATAGGCAAAATATGAAGTTTTGATACTGTGTGCATAGATAAAGCATCACAGCCTATCAATAGTGTTTTCTACCTCATAACTTGAAAATGTTTTACAATGTAGTTCTGCATGCATGCATTATTCAAGCTAAAATATGGAAAAAAAATGATCGTTGGCAACAAATATCAAATTTGGTGAAGTTAGCTTGGACAATTCACTAGCTGTGGCAGTAGTACAATAACAATTTATAGGAATTCATATGTTGAGTGTTATCTCCCAACACTTGTTACCAGAAATAATGTTTTTAAATGACAATCCTTGTATTTAAATGTGAAGATGAGGGGTAATACATGATAGTGCTGTGTTCTTAATGTAGATTTGCCAGTGCCAGTGGTTTTAAACATGCCAGATGAAGAGGATAATGCAAATTAATAGAATCCTTTGTCATTATACAGGTATACAATGAGATGAGTAGAGCTACTCCTTTTTTTAAGGTCCCATCAAAAATACAAAAACCAACAAGAGACGTACAACATTCAGGAGGAGACAACATACAAACAGCAAGCATTCATACTTCAATATGTAGATTAATGAGGTTAAAGGTCTGGCCACTAGATGACGCGCTTTATACCTCTCAAATTAAGAGTCACTGCTCTTTTATTTTAGGTATTTCAAACTAGGGTGTTGTTGCTGCTGTAGAATGGGAAGAACCTCCACCTTTTCAGAATTATTATTATTATTAATAACGACTCGAAAACAGCCCATGGCACTGTTATTGATTTTTATGCGGATTTAAAAAGCGTCCATTTCGAGTTGCCCAACAATACACGTATTGCACCACAGGTAGGCTACACTTTTTTTATTTTGAAAGTCACCACCGGAAGACCTGCTGTCACTAGTCTCATGACAGAAAGACGTTACGTTATTACCTTTATATATACAGTCTATGGTTATAACTTATTACAAAAAGCTACATGTTTTAAAAGCAGTAAAAAGGCATGAATTATATTAACTGTGAAACCAACCCTGAACAAAAATGCGAAATAGTCCCTGTTTTCTTTTCATTCTAAAACAGGAAGCTCAATTCAGTCTACTGATTAAACTGAGGTGAAAGTGAATATAGTTTCACCTTTAAAAGCAAATAAGAGCTATAATACGATGGTCCTTGGTGCTCTATCGGCTCGATTAGTTTTTAGAAACAATTGATAATTTAACGTTTTCCTCTCTCGCTGTCATAACTTTCTTAACTCATCGCTGCTGTTTGTCTTGTCAATAATCACCTGATGACGTAGCTCATCCGTTAATTTGCCGTTAAATATATGATGACAAGTATGGAAGCCACATTTCGCCAATTTGATGTAAATAATAATAATAATGTACATTATATAGTTAGAAACTTAACTTTAAATATTGACTCACTATCACAAAATGACTAATTATCAGTAAATACTGGATATTTTAAATAAATTACTATAGAGCAAAAATAACGAGTTGATATTTCAAAACAGTGAATTTTCTGATTTAGTATCAGAAAATAATTATTTAGTATCTCGACTCAAACTAAATAGAAACTAGAAGAGACAAGTCCTTACTTTGAGAACATTTCAATATTTAGAGTTTCTCATTCTTTTAAGAAAGTTTCTGACAATTTTTCGTTTCTCTGCAAAGTGAGTTTTTAGCTCCAGTTTTTAGCTCCACTGTGGAGCCTCGCGGATGGGGGTGCTGCAGCCCCCTCAGCACCACCCCTTCCCGCGTCCATGGGACATTGTATACTTTTATTTGACTGAATATGTAGATTTGTTTACATTACATTCAAAATGTCAACATGAAACAACATGTCACTTTCTCCCAAAAAAAAAGAACATATTTCTGAGTGTTATGATGAAGATGTAGCTGCTTTTATTTTTCTAGATTCATCTGTTGCCAGTTGTAACGGAATCAACGTGATTTGGGGCGTTTCCTTTCGGAGCCCTACGTCACAGCGCGACCAGCCTATCCCGGAGGACTAACCGTCACACACTCGAAATGCCTCCTGCCTGTAACTTGTAGCTAACGTCTGCCTGCATTTAAATAACATACAATGGCTAGTATCGGTAGCTAGATTGTATCTTAACCACCATGTAAACTGTCTTATCACGGAAGGCAGTAGACTAAGGACTAAGAAGGTAGTAGGACGATACAGGAGGAGCCAGTTTGACAGCCCTCCGAAAAAAACGACCCGAGAAGACGCTACCCAAGCACCCGTCTCAGCCCGGTCAACTGGAGCGTTTCGTTAACCGTTTAACACCCCCATATGCCGGCGCCTACGCCCGTCTTCACACCCTCACGCCGGAAAAGAAGCAGGGAGGGCGGCTACGGCAGCTCCGGGGTCCCCGACACTTAGCAGCCGAGGAGAGGCACCGCTGAAATGAGATGAGGCTCAGAAATGGAACTGTGGCCACTGCGATTATTTTCTTCACGTCGTTCCTCAGCCTGTCCTGGTACTCAGCGTGGCAGAATGGCAAAGGTAGGTTTGTGTTATGTCATTGCAGTTATCACATAGGGTGTAATTTGTGTATTTTTTTTTTTTTAGTAAGGCCTCGTTAACAAACTGGTAGACCAAAAGCTGGTCCACCACCACCACCAGCAGCAGCAGCATGCCATAGGACAGCAGGTGTTACCTCAGAAGTCATCCGGTTTTAAACTGCTAGATTTGTACTAAGAGCTACAATATTTCTTACATTGTCGTTGTGCACATGCATTACACAAGGGGCAGCTATTTATAATTGTTGGTCTCATTAATGTCATTCGTGTGCATTGTTTTGAAAAAGGGGTTTCTTCACCACTTGGGTAGCCTACCAGAGGTGTACTCATACCTTTTGAAAGTAGCAATACTACATTGTAAAAAATCTCTGTTACAAGTCCTGCATTCAAAATGTCACTCAAGTAAAAGGGACAAAGTATTGGCATAAAAAAAAATATAGTATGGCATATCGGATTAAAAAAAAATATATATTTTTTGTATTATGATTATTAATGTTGGACTTGGTCAGGGTGGGGATTTAAATTACTTTATATACTGCTGAGTATCATAACCTATAATAATACATAATGATTTATTGGATGATTTATATTCAGTATTATAAATCCATACCAGCAAAGTAACTAGTCACTCAAATTAAAAAATAAATGTAGTGGAGTAAAAAAAGTAAAAAATGGTCTCCAACATGTGGTAAGGTATAAGTATAAAGTAGCATAACATGAAAGTATTCAAGTGGAGTACAAGTACCTCAAAATGGTACTTATTACAGTACTTGAGTAAGTTACATTCCAACACTGTAGCCTACCGAAGCGTCTTCACACTTTGACAGCATGGCAGATGATGTGGTCCATCTCTCATCTCCACTCTCTGCTATCCAACCTCCAATCAGTCAGCCATCATTTAGTATGTCAGCACCAGCTTAAAGGAAAAGCACTTGCAACGCTTCGTAATAGTATCACCATTCAATTCCTTTCACTTCCCTTAATAACATGTTTTTTATTTGATTATTATCCATATTTCTCTACATGTAAAAACATCTGGGCTATGGATAATTACACAAGTGTCCTTAGTTGCCAGGGTTAAACAAATCCATGTGGGAGGGTAATGGGCCTTACACTGACTTGTTATCAGCAGAGTGTAAATAATTGCAGCCTTTAGATACATTCCAAGCCAAGGCTTCATGTTGTGATCACGGTGGAGCTTATCAGCTTGATGAAATATTTTCCTTTTAATAAGAGTCCAATGAGTCCCACTGCACTAGGCCATGGCTTGATGAAAGTGTGTGTGTGCTAAGCAAAGGTCAAGCGACGATGTCCTCTGTTCTGTGTGCTTCCCCTGTTGAAACAGTTCAGTATCGTAGTTGGGACGGATATTAAAAGCAAACCCTTTTGTTCATTTTGTTGTCACAACTCACAAGATACAAACTTAAAGGTCCCATGTCATGCTTTTCTGGTTATTACCCGTCCCCTTGTGTGTTATGTAGCTTTTTATGCATGTGAACGGTCTGCAGAGTCACAAACCCTCAAAGTACACCCTGTAGCGAGTAAAACTCAAACACAGAAAAGACCTGTCTATGCTGCCCCAGAACGCCTCGTTGGGGATTTCTCTTTTTCCATCGTTTACTTCTTGGGTATAGTGACGTAACGTAACGGCTCCGCAGATTGGTCCAAATTGACCAATCCGCGGAGCCGTTACGCTACGTCCACGGAGCCGTTGCGTTTGGACCAATCCGCGGACTTCCTCACACACACACTCGGCGGGACGTTGCGAGGCTCGCTGCTGCGTGGAGCGGGACACTGTGAGCTGGCTCACTGGTGTGGGGTCGGCGAGACACCGCGGAACTCAGCCTGGGCACACACACAAACTCCCAGCCAGGCTGCGGGTGTGTGTGTGTGCCCAGGCTGAGTTTCGCGGTGTCTCGCTGTCTCGCAGACGGCCACTGGGCTCACAGGGAGGGGGGGGGCAGGAGCTCCAACAAGCCGTTTAGGACAGAGAGTGAATACACATACTATACAGAGATGCTGTATGAGAAACCAATGTGAGTTTGGAAAATTGCACAATATAAATGTATTTTAGTATACCTCAACAATGGAATTATGATCAGTAGAAATGGCCATGACATGGGACCTTTAATAACTTTGGCTCTCAAGTTTTCCGTAAGAACCCTTTATCTGTACTTTACATTTTCTCTACAGTTGATGATATTGTAAGAAGGTGAAATGTAGAATTTTGTAAGCATTAAGATGTGCAGGTATATTCTTTAATCTACTAATCATAAAGGAGAACAACATTGAGAATATGGGCATTTAACTTGCATTTTGACCTCAATTTGTACGTATCAGGAGGATATAGAAGACCCTGACCCTAACTCTCAAGGAGGGTCAAAGGGCCATTTTGACAGCAGCAGAAATTTTGATTTGTGATAACAGGGCAATCACAGGTGGCAATAATTACATTAACAATGGCTTTGTTGTGACCAAGTGTCCCTGTAAGCCATGTGTGACAGTGAGCCATCATTCACAAGGACCCTGAAACTGAAGCAAAGATGAAATTCATCCCCTATCAACTTTATTATTTACCCAATTGCTGTCCCTATGGTGACATGTCTAATGGCGCGTTTCCACTACAGCCCGCAGCCCGGTTTAAGAGGGCTGTGACGTCAGCGGCCCGTCTTTGGTTGCGTTTCCACTTGGCCTAGTACCGGCCGGCGGGTCCTAATTCACAGTTTTTCTGGCCTCATAAAATCGTGGGGCCAGGGCCAGAGACAACGAGGCTGAGTCGGGCTGAGTATGCTAAACTAGAGAGAGCGTCGCTGGCAAGGGGGCAACAACTACAACAAGATGGACATATTTGACCGTGATTTAATTGTAATACACGTTTCAAAATGATGCCGAAGTAACAACATACTGATACCGGTTAGTAAAAACCATGAATTAATGCTTTGTCAAGTCTGCAGACAGACGGCAGGGGAAAAACCTTTTAAAATGCTTGTTTTCTAAATGGAGATTGGCTAAGCTAACGCAGTATATGCTCCGACCGTCCACACTCACAACAACGGCCTATACAGACATAAATAAAGCAGCGACTGTATTCACCATGACACAGGCAGTCTGTGGTTTGTACTTGTTTAACTTTTGTCTAGTTTCTGAACATATATGAGGAGCTGTGTGCTCTGAGTGCTAACAGCTAACGGCTGTGTTGTTTTTCTGGGGTCCTCTGAAGATCACGTCACGGCTCCGCCTACACTGCGTTACTATAGATACTGCCCCAGTTCCTAAACTGTAATGGAAATGCGCCATAAAGTGAGCCAGTCCTAACGAGGCCCAGCCATACCGAGCGGGGCCGAGCGAGGCCGTGTAGTGGAAACGCGGCATAAGTCCTAAGTGAAAAAGGACACCATAGCTGCTAAAGAAGTCAATGCTTGCCTGTATGGTGGCTCAGAGAGCTCAACACACGTCTGCAACTTAAGAAAACTTAAGCAAATAAAGAAGACATGAGCAAATGAAAGGAAAGAGGATTTCTCTCTATTGGATCACATATTAAAAGACTGGGATCATGATCCTGATTGGGACATCCCTAACAAAACATATGTTTTACTTGCATGCTGCCTTTCTGTTGACAACACATTTTGTATTTAACTGGGCAGCACAGTCTTGCTGCTGATACAATAAGACAACAGGTCATACATAACCCAACTAACGGCACAAGGGAAGTGTCCTTCGAATGCCAAAAATGATCTATTTGTGAAGGTCTAAATATCACTGGCTTTTTAGATGGTAAATGGAAGTAAAATACACATGGTTTGAGGATCTTTTTAAACATCCATAGGCGCGTTCACACCAAGTACTTTGCCGTATTTAGTGCCGGCACTCAGTGCCCTGGCACTTATAACCCCAGGGCATTTAGTACAGATCGCGTTCACACCGGAGTACTTTTCCCTGAGGGAAGATTACGCAAATGAGCCGCTGACGTTACTTCGTCTTCTACTTTGGGTTTACTGGCAGGCCGCAAACAACTTCACAACGTATACTGCCACCCGGAGTCCCCGGCCGGAAGTCCCCGGAGTTGCGGACTGGCTTCAGTAGAAGATGCTGGGATTCCCAGCAGCTTCTACTGCCTTCTGAGTAAATCGCCAGAACGCCGACACCTCCTCATCTCCACCGCTCCCATGTTTTATTTTGTGTTGCCATAAGTTAGTCTCTCTGCGTTTGTGCACTGGGCGAATGCTAATGCTAATAATGCTAATGCGAGGTTAATACAATGGCGGCTCTAAAAAACATTTCAGAGTTGTACGGGGCGTGGTTTGCAATTCGCCGAGCCAATCAGAACTGGGGCACTTTTATCCCCCAGGAAAGTACCATCTCTCAGCAGGCACTAAAAATGGGGGTAAAAGTTCCCGAGATTAAGTGCTCTTTTTGGTGTGAACGCGACATAAGGGGTACTAACGGAACTAAACATGAAAAGTACGGTGAAAAGTATTCTGTATTTGTTTGTACTCCTCTTGTTACTTCATGTCACATGAGTATTGACAATTTAGTAAACCTGCTTCTTAATTTGACTGCGTTTCTTTATTTTCAGAATTTCTTTCCTTAATGCCGGAAGTGTGTTGACAGCAGAGTTCCCGTTAGCCGGTAATTACCGGACAATGACCGGTAAAATATGCTGAAGTCCGGCAAATCTAAATCTCTCCGGTCAAAATGTCCGGTCAAAATAATTTTCCCTTAGCGCAATACCGCATCAGTTGCGCCACTTATGTGACAGACAAGAATAGTATGTGACAGACAAAAGAGTATGTGACAGACAAAAATTGTCAATTCTAATGTCTAACACTTAATGTGGAGAAAGAGATGTCCTGTATGGGTTGATTGTGCGTTGATCTGTTGGTAATGCCTCGGGGTTCCGGTGGGCATGTAAACAAATGCATAATGCTGCGCTATACTTTGTGGCCTCATCCGGTTGCATAGCGACGCTTATTGTTTAGGTGT